TAGTAATTAATGTACTGTTTTTACTATCTTAAACCATGATAGTCTGTGAAATTTGTGAAATAAGTTAGGAAATATTAACCATAAATAATTTTAAGAGGCCATTTTGTAAAATGGCTGTCATGGCCGTCAGGGCGTGATTCTGCGATGGCCCAATATCCAGATTTATTTACATTGTGAATGTCTATATTTGTGCCAAAAATGGTGCTTTTATCCCAAAATGCACAATAGGTCCCCTATGCCGCCGTACTATTATAATTTGTGTAAAAATCCTGGCAATTTATTTTATATCATTCCGACAGCATTACTTAGGAAAGCGAGGGCAAAGTGCGAACCTGAGGGAGGTCCTCTCTTCGCTGGGACAAATGTCATCGAATGAAGCTGTTTTAAAATACTGCAGTGGATTAACTCGAGATCAAACTTTTCTTAATGCATTAATCAGACCTGGGCACCCCTTATCACGGGCACCTGCTATCACCTGAGCTTCCTAAGTATGTGGAGTCCTTTTTACCTGTTTAAGTGTGGGTAAAGGAATTACAGGTATTGATCGAGGGTCTCCGAACAGCGGTAATAGGCTGCGGATTTAATATTCGTATTTGTAGGTCTACATAATGAATAGCGTTCAACCCGGATATAAAGAAATGTTTCCATACAGTCGAGTTTAATGAATCAATTCCTCTATCACTTATTGGTACAATATTGTGTTTCAGAATGACATGTCGCTTAATATCGGAGTAGCTATTGTAGAAATTAAAGAACAGTATTATTTCTTTATAGATTGACACATTTATCAAATTAAGGGAAGATAGAATGTTCCTCGTGAGTTCCAAATCATTTAGAAGCAAAGCAAAATGTCTGACATGTACCTTTTGCCCTCCCCTTTTTAAAAAGTCACTTAAGAAAGAAAAATGAACATAATTTGAAACCTAGGTTAGGTAAAAGTTTTATCTTTTTTGTCGGTCATTAATGAGTCATTATTTTATTGAATAAGCAGTTATGATGTTATGGTCAAATCCATTATTCTTACTTCGCTAAATAAATTTACTGTCAGTAGAGTGACGGGCCCTGCCCGGCCCGCTAAGGCCCTTCACGTTATATCATTTATCCTCATTCTTTTATCTGACTCAGGTGATAAATTTTACAATTTTTTCATACTTATTTTTTTACACGAGAAAGACATTTGCCGTCGCGTTTGGTTATGAGTAGTATACATCATAGAAATGTTTTCTGTCGATTAAGGACCGTAGCTCGTCATGTAAGGTTATCAATGTGTCTTTAGCGTTATATAAAACGATGAAGAAACGTAATATTCATTTTATTTAATAGTTTATGTCATAAACTGCAGTCCTTCAGGCATTAATGATTAAGACAAACATTTCTTAATTTGATGCCTTTTTTCACTAAAATTTAAGGAAAACATGTTGAATTATTTCTATATTAATATCCCCTAGCATTTATTTTTCCGCTTAGTTAACTTGCTTTGTCTTATTTTGATCCATTTCCTGACTCTGACAGTTGTATAATTTGTATGGATTCTTTTTTCTACTTATTTCCTTCTCCTTGTGTTATTTTCAAATATTTTCAAATACTAGTATATTATCTAAAGTCTCATAAAAAAATTTAAGACAAACCTGTGATATCAAGGAAATTTAAGAAAAACCTGTGATATCTAGTAATAATATTTGTTGTAAATTTAAACTGAATTTCGCTCGGGCAAAGAACACGCCACAAAACACAAAAAGAGAAAACTAGTCTTATTTAACATTGCACTGGCCTATACTCTATTCAAACTGTACCAAATGTATTTTTAGTCTAAGGTGGAAAGACTCAAATTGTATTTTGTAGTTTAATTTTCACGCCCGCAATTCAATTATTCTGATTATCACTGAGGTGTATTGTAATCACGCTTCGGTAGAGTTAGAGCTTTAACCGAGGAATATTGCTGATTTGATAGCTACGTCGATTTGGTTAATTAAACACAAATATTTTGATATAAATTCAATTCAAGCGACGATTTTATCTAAATATTTGGAGTTTGTTGTGGTTAAAATTTGAATTATAACACAATACTTCTGTTCTTATAACCACAGGGCTTCACGCCATCTCAGACAGTAACAAGAAATGCATCAACTTTTTTTCTTTTCTGAACTGCAAAATGATAATTTCCTCCGATTGAAAAGATACAAGAAAAGATATTTTGTCTTCATAAGCCACCTAAAAATGCATATAAGCTTTTTTTTTTAAAGTTTGCAAGACCATCGGAATGTTGTGTCCCTATGTTTGCTTTAGAAAGAGACCAATACGAAGATGTACATTCAGTTTAGTTCAGACAAATAGCCATGGTCCCTTGCACGGACGTAGCAACAGGGGGGCCTGAGGGCCTGCCCCCCCCCACTTTTTTCCCCAACACATTACTTTTACTATAGAAAATGTTCGTTGAAGGGATGGTTGGCCTCCCCACTTTTTACCATAGGATAGTGATATCAAAGAATATCAAATTAAAATTTTCCGAGAGAGTCAACTTTTTTAAGTAAGTAAAAAAAAAAATTTTCTCTGGTTGGCCCTCCCCCCCCCCCACTTTCAAAAACGATGCTACGTGCCTGCCTTGTAAGCATTCTTTGAGAGAGAGAGAGACAGATAGAGAGAGGCGAGGGATAGAAGAAAGAGAGACGAGAGAGAGACAGATAGAGAGAGGCGAGGGATAGAATTTTTTCTTTGTACATGTATGATAGTTGACAACTGAATGTATTACAGCTGTATATCGAAAATTTTTAAGTTAATATATATGATGGTTAATTTCTTGATTCCCAGCCTCCTGAAGTCAGATTGCTTGTGTGCCGATAAAGAAGAACCACAGAGCAGTATACTCAGTACATTACACCCTTTGATATTTTATGTACAAATGTGCATATGTCCTACATTCCTATACCATGTATCTTATTTTCTCAATGACTATAAAGCAGCAGAATCAGACCGCTCTAGAATTTTACACCCTGGTATTTAAATTTCAACGATCTGGTTTTATATTACATAGCCTACAAGAGGTGCAATTTAAATATGTTTCTGACCATTAGCTATGGTAATGATATGCCAGCTACAAAGAAACATATGTTTATCGTGAATTGATTTATTCATGAAAACACTGGCAATAAAGTTTTGTATATCACACAGTCGAATTACACGGAGCTGGAGAGAGGGAGAAAAAAGGGATATGGTGTTACTTAACATAGCTATTACAGTACATCCTCAAATTATCAATGATTACCATATGATTATCGTTGAATTCCCAACTTTAAACGAGAGACGAAGAGGGACGAAATAATAATGTAATCTGGGTATAAATAATGTCACAGAGCCAGCCATTCTCAATCAAGGTCCCCATAAAACGTCCCATTATCTCCAGCCTCCAGACTATTCCAATATCATTTTAAAGCATTCAGTCGGGCCCTAATGTGGTGCTTCCATTTAACGGCAGTGACAGTTCGCTCAGTGATACCGTGTTTTATAGTCGCGGTTCTCTGGTACCTAACAATACCCCGTTCTCCGCGTGTATGAGGGTGAATACCATCAGCCTACGGAAATGGCTTTCTTTGGCAAAGGCCCGTTTCCTAGCTTGCCAAACATTTTACCTTTTAAATCAGACGGAAGTAAATTTATGATTTGATTTGGCTAATAAAATATTTGAAACAGTACAATTTCATTAGACTTGCTGTAATTTAAGGGTGCGTTTTCCCCCTTTTCTGATAAGCGCGTTTGTGTTTTTTGCAGATAAACCTCTCTTGCATGTTTCTAAGTTTTAAATTGAGAGATTGAATTTGTTAGTAGATATATTTTTTTTTTGTTTTGTTTTGCTTTAATTGAAATCGATTTTTTTAATCATTCTTAATGCATGTAAATACTCCCTCTACAGTCATTTTTAATTTTCAGAGAGAGAGAGAGAGAGAGAGAGAGAGATATTTAAGTTTCCACTTCCACCCGAGATTCTATTTGATCCCTTATCAAAGGCTGTTTGTTAACTATGTTAATATGCACCAGGAATTTTTTTTTTAGCTTTTACAATATTTCATAATAATAAAAATGTGAAAAATGTGATGTAATATATGTGCGTTATTTTTAATGATTTTTTCTTCCACTGAAGAATTAAATCTTTCTATAAAACATTAAATCTCTTTGGTCTTGAATGGTTCATGCAAACAATGAACTTTTTCTCAAGAATTTATTTTCTTTTTCTGTATATTAATTTTTTAATAAGTCTCCTCGACGAAGAAGGATCAATTTAAAATATGCTGAGCAGTAAAAAGTATTGGCAATCTAATAATTTAGTTTGATTTTGCGCTATTGTTTGATTTTTTTTTTTTTTTTTTTTTTTTACAAAAAGTTATCAATAGTATTTATAACTGACCACTCTGTTATTGAGTGCGGTCTTTATGCAGTTCCATTCACACCATTCAAGTGTTTAAATAAATAATTAGTAAACGTATATCGGACCTTTTTAAGTATTCATATCCTATTCGCTCCAAAAACATAACGGGAAGTTTCAATGTGCTGGCCAGGTAAGAAAAGCAAACATTGATTTTAAGCAATTCAAAGACTCTGAAATTTAAAGAATGAAAATTTATATATAAAGTTAAATCGATGAAACATAATGGAACAATAAAATCATGAACTATTGTCCGTTTAATAATATATCAAAAGGGCCTCTCTATTGAAGCACTGCGTTGACCTGACGAAAACAGAAACCCATATGTTATCGTTCGGCGAATAATTTACTCATAAAATATGTCAGGAGAATGCTTAAAAGCTATGATTGACGTTGAAGCTCTTCACTCGCGACAAGATCAAAGGCATATGTACCGCCTACCTTGACTAGCGGAAGGATAAATAAATAGAATATTTTTAAGATAAGAAATAGTGCAGTAGATCATGGACTCATTTAAAATCTGACACTGCTCTAGAAACACTACAATTAAAATCAATGGAACAATCATTGATTACGGAATCACCTCAGATGAAGTTTGCGTTATTTTTAGCCAGATTAGAGGAACATAAATTGTAAACAGTGCGGATGGATATTTAACAACGTGTTTTGCTGTTCCGGTCGGCTGCTCTGGTTGACATTAGATCGGTGTATCGCTCCTACAAACACAGTGTCTGTTCACTTTACATCGATGATACACTAAACAGCTAAATATGCTATCTCTGTTGTATTGATCTTCACACGGAAACAGTCCTGTTTATTTTTTTCATCTGTGCCATGTAGTAGTTGGACTTTTACGCAGTCAACTAAATTTCTTGCGACAATGCACACGTGGGTGCTTTCCCTCATCCTAACCCTCTACGGTGGACTAATCCCGGGGGCTAGGGGACAGATTTCTCACCGTCACGCGCGATGTGAGAGAATTACTATACCAATGTGTATGGATATGAAATACAACCTTACAAGAATGCCAAATTTAATTGGACATACAAACCAGAAAGATGCTGCCATACAGGTACATGAGTTTACACCTTTAGTGCAATTTGGATGTTCAAGATTATTACGATTTTTTCTGTGTTCTCAATTCGCGCCAATGTGTACTGAAATGGGAGATGAGACCCTTATTATACCAGTGTGTCGTTCAATGTGTTTGGAAGTCAAAAGTAAGTGTGCACCGATATTAACCAAATTCAGTTTTCAGTGGCCACCAATGCTGGATTGTTCAAAGCTTCCTCAACACGATGACCCTAAACCGAATAATTTATGCATGGAAGCGCCAAACATGACAGATGATCCAAAAATATCGGACGGCACAGGAATATTTGACAAAGAAAAAGACCCGTCTGATTGGTTAGACATTATTACAAAACTTAAGATGTCAAATTCACCCATAGGATCAAAAGTGAAAAACCTTGGATCCCCGGGGTCGAAAGGGCACAGGTTTCCAGACGTTCCCCCGGAGATATCGTGTCCGGACAGATTTGTCCGGGTAGACACGGGGACGGACAACTCCACGTGTGCCGCTAGATGTAACGTGGATGTCATGTTTCGTCAGGCGGATAAAAAATTCGCAGAGTACTGGACGGTTGCTTGGGCCTCTCTCTGCTGCCTGTCTACTGTGATTACATTTCTTACATTTGTCATCGACACCAGTCGCTTCAAATACCCAGAGCGACCGATCATTTTCCTTTCCATGTGCTATGCCATTTACTCATTTGCCTTTTTTATCAGGGCCATAACGGGCCCCAATGCTATTTCATGTGACAAAACCATAGATGGTACGGAATTTATAATTCAGGAAGGATTAGACAGTACCTGGTGTATAATTGTCTTCCTTATTTTGTATTTCTTTGGAATGGCTAGTCAACTCTGGTGGGTTATTCTCACTCTAACATGGTTCCTGGCTGCTGGACGAAAATGGGGCCAGGAGGCAATAGAGACCCTGAGCAGTTATTTTCACATGGCGGCGTGGGGCATCCCGTCCATAATGACCATCGTGATTCTAACCATGAGGAAAGTAGATGGTGATGAATTAACAGGATTGTGTTATGTAGGAAACCAAGATATTAAAGCATTAACTGGATTTGTGTTAGCACCTTTAATAGTGTATCTTCTTTTAGGAACTTTCTTTATTCTCTCTGGCTTTGTGTCATTATTCCGCATTAGAAATAATTTAAAACAGGACGGAACCAATATTCGAAAACTGGAAAAACTAATGGCCAAAATTGGCATTTTTTCGGTGTTATATACTGTGCCAGCTACTTGTGTGATTGGATGTTACTTTTATGAGAGGGTGAACTACGACGTTTGGTTGGCAGCTTCTAAACTTTTAAGTTGTGAAAAGACAGAAGACGGGGGAAAGGACTGTAGCCTACCCCAGTCTATCCCGCAAGTTGAAGTCTACATGTTAAAGATATTCATGTCACTTGTAGTGGGTATAACAAGTGGAATGTGGGTATGGAGCTCTAAAACTCTTAACTCTTGGAAAACTTTCTTCTCGAATCGATTCACCCGCCGGAAATCTAACGTGGGGGGTAGCGGGAACATTGGGTACCACCCGGCCCCCGTGATCGTCATGAAGCCCCACCACGGGCCAAAGGTCTCCTCAAAATCGTCCGGTTCCAGGGTCTAGCAATGTATCTGTCGATTTGAATCGTGTACAAAAATATGTTTTGTCTTTCAGAAACTCCTTTGTTTATTTTGTAGAGCAAGTGTTCATAACATTATTTTTGTAGACAAGGTTGTCAAGCTACAATTTTGTTTCTTGTACTTAAGGGAAAAAAACTCTTTAAAGTTGGGTTACATTTAAAAATACATTGTTTGGGACAATCCACAAAAGCTCTCGTAAAGTAGTGTCTTCATCATTATTAAAAAAACTCGTTAACATTTTTTGCACTTTGTTGTTCGAACTTAATAGCAAGGTTTGTGTCAAAGATCCATTTCAAAGAGAGAACATTGAATAGATAGTTTACAGGCACCTTTAAGCAACGTCTCCGATTACATCAGAAAATTACAGCTTGGAGTTGACACAATAGAAAGGTCGGGAAGGGTCTCCAGATTTTGGGGTACGTTCAGAAATATCATATGTACTCGCGCCGGATCGAATTGGAAACTCGAGACGAGTTTGCTTTAACAATAACAATGGAAAGATACTTAGACGACTAGCCTATAACAAGACTCCTCTGGTTAATTGACCACTTGACGGTATCGTTTTAAAATTGTCGATTGCTGATCAAAAACTAATTTTCTGATTGGATTTTATTTTATGTAATTTCGAATACCTTGTCATTTGAAATAAGATCGAACCGGGTTTAAGATTTCAAGTAGGTATTTTTAATTTTTGTATAGGGGAAATACTTCTACCGATTCTGAGAATTTTTAAATTTTTATGTTCCAATGTTATTGTTCTGGCAGTTATGTGAATGCAGTGACGTGGTTTGAATTTATTAAAGTAGTAAAAAAGGGTTATTGAACATGTATGAATATCATTTATGCCACAATCATTTCAGAAAGAAATGTGTGAAATATAATTATATATATATACCTTGTCATCTTGGGGAGATAATTATAATTTTTTTTAGAGCTTTGTTTTATTCAAATTCACATTAGGCGTCAATGGAATGTCCCAAACTTTTGTTTTTATTTGGTGAAAATTAACAGTCAAAAACAAAAGAGATCAAGTTCTTTCTATATAACAATTTTTAGTTTCCCCATTACTGCAGCTTTTTATTGTTTTTTCTCCAATTTTCTATTGCTGCTACAATAGAATTTCAATTTTTATTTTTTGTTATAAAAATGTTATTTAGTCATTGTTGATATTGTAAGAAAACAATATTGTTACAATAAAAGCGAGAAAAATTTTAAAGTTGGGCATGTTCTGTTTCCAGTTAATGGAGTAATTTTTCGTTTTTTATCTTTGACCAGGGGTGGTATTTTTTCTCTCTCTCTGTTTTTACGCTATCACTTCAGTGAAGGCTGTTTATGACCTACAGCAAAAACTTAAGACATTTTTGTTTTACATTCGTGAACCCTAGAACCACTTCACAAGCCCACTGGTTTAGAATATTAATATATTCTTTGTCACCTTCAACTCATTATATTCTAATTAAATACATTTCTGATCCAAAGTTGATTTAATCAACCGAGAATATACTAGTACTAGTTTGTTGAAAAAATTAAAATGGGATGCCTGTATGTGTATACGTGTTGAACTATAAAATATACATGTATATTAAACGAATTATATTGGGATGCTTAAAGATACAGATATATTTGACACTAATTCTGATGACTTTTTAATGTTTAATTAATTTGAAAATGAAAATAAATAAGTCAATAGCGTAAGGTACATTAGAAAATCATATCATATGCATGTAATGATACACCAACTTCTTTTAATTATTTAAAAACAATTTTTAAATTCATTAAAAGTAGCATTCATTATTACACATAATTAATTAGGAAGTATCGACCTCTTCCTCAGAGATTGTGATATAAGATACATGTTAAGTTCGTGATCAGGGAATTTATATACCGTATGTTTGATTACGGTATGTATAAGATGAATTTTCTCAAAAGTACATGCCCAACGTTTATGCTTTGTGTTCTTTTTACCTTTTGTACACCTTGTCAGCTCTGGTATTTTATAGAGCGACAGTTACCGGAAAGTTGTTATACCTTGTATGTTCCTAGTGCAAAATTAAATGGACATTTATATGCATATTTATCTGACAAAACATGTCTCAAATCCTTTTAATAGTTCTCAATGTTGGTGTTTATACAAACCTCGGAGAAGTGACACTCTCCCTAGGACTGTCAGAGCAGGGGATGATAGAAGGTTTCACCATGGAACCACATGAAAATGCCTCTTGCCCCGTCGCGGATAACGCGGTGACCGAAAAATGTCTCTTAACACTACCAATCTTGAAAGGTATTTATTCTAGATAAAAAGCAGCAAAGCGTTTTAATTTTTATGTGTTGCTAGTTTAAACTTCTGAATTGAAAGGTTTTAGCATTTACGGGTTTTCAGTTCAAAGCTTTTCCATGGAAAGGAAATTCCATGTAAGAAAAAAGAAAACAAACATATATATGTAAATCAGTGGCCTTGCGGGTGAAAGGCGTGACAAATATATGTGCTTCACAAATAGCTCCTTTTTTTTATGGGAATAAATTGGTTGGAAGAAAATAGCTTCATACGGAAGAAATAGGGGGAATGATTAGTATCAACAAGAAAATGGTTAAAAAATCGAACGAGCATATCAGTGAAAAATATAATAGAGAAAAACACATTAAGGATGTTATATTATTGATTGTCCGTGTGTCATTGCGACTGATGCTAAGATAAGAAATGGTTTGGTAGATTCCAGGAACTGGGCTCTGTAACAGAAGCGCGGAGGGAGATAGCGATGACATCCATAGGAAACCACAATAACGACCCACCAATGTTTGATTACAGAGCTGGGGATCGATCAACTCACGGCCAAAACATACTATATAACTATTTAACAGAAACGTTTATTTGAAGTTAATCGTAAGCAAATATGATGCGACTTTAAACGCTGGCGCTTCGTGCTATTACATAATAATAGTCTTTGATCTTACAAGCCGCATGTCTACTCTTCGCATTTCTATTTTTCTAAGGAGTTGAAAATTAACTGTGGGTTTGCAAACAAGCGTTTTTCTCTGCCTGTGAAAACAAATGTTTGAATGTTTATATATTTTGTTTATGATGGCCTACTTTGGGAATCGATGGACTCAGTTGATTGAAGGGCCAGGCAGTAATGTGATGATGTAACGCATTGTCCTCAACTCTTTCATCATAGCCTAAGTTGTTCTCATTTTAGATTCAATGTAGTCTTTATATTCACGAAATCGTTTTTTCAGATCTTGTCCTTTGACGTGCTTTCCACCTTAGTGTTCACAAAATGAATAATTGAATAAGGCGACCAGGCTTTCGTAAATATGTAAATATTATTCTTTGTATCTCCCCCGAGTGTTACTGTTATCTCCTGATCAGTCGTATGGCCTGTAGTCACCACCAGGTAATTGTATTCAATCAAATGCCATCAACTTCCAGGGCTTTGTTTCTTTTTTCATCAGGTTTTCAAAATGAGACCAATCTATGCTACCAGTAATATGTGAAATACATTTCATTCGAACACTTGTCTGAGGAATGGGTTCCATTAGTTATACCAATCTCCCCAAGAAATTATTCACCCTCTTAGAAGATGAATTGTTTTTCCAAAACTTTACTGACAGTACTTAAAGTTGTATGGATTTGGTATTCAAAATATCACAAGCTACAGATCTCGTTTTGGTCAGGAATTTTTTTTTAAATTAGTGATTGGAAGAATATGAAATACACCATTCGAGGCAAACCTTTTAACTTTTTCTATTGACAGTTTGGACTATGGTACCGAAAACAAACTTAATTTTATTATGGTAGGAAACAATGCCAGTATCAACTAACCCCGGCCCACTGAAATTTACCTCTACTAAAGCTTGTTCTGGTATAAAATACAGGACCAGTCCACGTAACTGTATGACTTAAAAAAAAAATCATGCCACCACCTTGAAGGCACTTCTGAGAGACCAAGCTATCACACTCACAATTTAGCTCAGGAGTAAGACCTTAGTAGCAGGGACTGGGGATAACTAACATCATCTATAGGACAAGAGGAACTGGTAATGGCCTAAGACAGAAGCAAACGACGCCACAGTACATTGGATGAATGAGAATAAAATGGCGTCTGGATGTTCAAAAGTTTGGGGGCTTGCCATGGAGACGTTTTGCATTTATTGTCGCACCCAAAAAGTCATGATGGCATATAATAGTTCATATACACATGTAATTAACTAGGATATTATATATTCAGATTAAGAACTACTGTTTGATGTCATACAACTTTAAGTTAATACCTATTGGAACAAACCAGTGAAAAGTGTTACATGTAAAAAGGTTAAGGTTCAATTGGTTGAAATGGAAGGAGTTTTGTGTTTGTCAGTCTGAATATATAATGTTTCTATTATTGCAAAGTAGATTTTTTGACATATTCCTTATACGAAAGTATGTTCAGTTTTCTACTTTTTGATACGAAACGTTTCGATCATTAATTCAAGTTGTTGGTTTCATGGGGAAATTAAAATTTGTTTTGGAAAAAACAAAAAAATACACATGCTGAGTTAAATTGCTGTAATGTAAAATAGCGTGATCTTATCCATAAGTTAATTTGAATGTTTCCGATCTGTTTATTTTTATAAACAATATATCTGATTTATTATCTTCAAGACAAACAACCATCACACCAATGTTTACATTTACTCACGTTATCTCTCAATATTGCAATGTCTCTAATTGTCATCTCTCTCTCTCTCTCTCTCTCTCTCTCTCTCATATACCACACACACGCACATTGAATAACTCCATGCATAATTAAAGATGTTAACTAATTAGGTCACAAAATAAGACGGGAGCATAATGACAATACAGACGATGTGAATCACCTCTTGTTTTGCAGGGCTCGGAAATCGATGGAAAACGCTCATAGTTTTGGGCCCAATATATATGTCAACCTGGACTCAACCATATCCCTTTCAATTAAACGCATATCCTATCAATAGTACAATTATCAGTTTTGCGAGGACGAGTCAATACCGTGGTTCTTTACCTGAACGGGCCAGGTAAATGCACTGATACACAGATAGGAAAGCGCTGAGTATGGCGTTCGCCAGTCGCCTCAGTTTCATCTTTTATTCAGACTTCAGCAAACTGTTTACCGCCCTAGGGGATCCTTGAATAATTTACTGATCAACATCTATGCACCATGCGTTTGAGGACAAGATACCAACGTCTTATGATAAGGACGCCCATGTTTATGACATTATGTAGAATTCTTCGGGTGCACTTTATTACATTTTAAAAAAAAATTTACTGCTAGATGACCTTTGAAAAGGGAGACGTTTGCTTATTTTTGGCATCTTGCTTGACGACAGTATAGAATATCCATGTATATTATTGGTCAAAATTTAGTTTTACTCCGATGCTATATCAAAAATGCGCCTTAATTAGCCCTTAAAATGGAAAAAAAATGTGACTTCGAGTTCTTTGGAGAGCATATTGTTATTATTTTGTCAAGTTATATTTGTTCTACAGGAATGCAGAATTAGCACATATTTGTCCAGCTGATAAAGTTAATATAGAACTGGAAAGGAAAATAAACACAGAATCCAAAAGGCAAGGTTCATTTTGTACTCCGGGAGTTTCTACCAAACCTTACATTCCTTTATTGATCAATTTAATTTCGCATTCACTTTAAAATGAAGAAAAAGTACATATCTTACAGTGATACGTTTCCTATCCGACATGCATAAAGAGAAAAACAAATTTTGTGCAGGTATTGAAGGATGTCGGATAACACAGTGTAAGTAACAAATTAAAATAGTTATTATGAAGAAGAATGGAAATGAATGTCGGAATTCACAGGTAAACGAACTGCACATGTTTCGGGTTAGGTAGTTTTCACTGTAATTACAGTGTATATACGAAGGTCGGTTAGTACTGCTTGAATCACAATATTGTAAGGATGTCACGTTCAGTGGCAATAATAAGTGATAGGGAAATCACACATTTAACTGCCAAGGATGCGTGCGTTCATTATTTTTCCACACGGGATTTTACCCAATGATAATGGAGAAAATCATTTGACATGATCATAAAATTTCAAATGTATTTTATCATGTGATTTTTGTTCTACGTAGAAACTATGTGTCGGAATTAGCAAAATTAATATCATTGTTATTTCACGCAATTCTCAGATAAATATAAAATATAAAAGAACGGGAAAGCAGGAGTATTTCAGCGTGAGA